TCACTCAGTTTCACAGTCTGCTTTCAGACAGCAGTATCTTCTGTGGCTTTTTGCTTGGGCAAGCCGTACCTTTTTAAAGTTAATTTAGTCTTTCCTTGTAAGTTAGTATGCATCTAGTCTCCGAATCACTTTTGCTGCTCTTTTCTTTCTCTCTTCTTTCTTTCTTGTCATTTTTTCTAGTTGTAGGATGCCAGAACGGAATGTGGTATTTCAGGTGTAGTCACCGGCGCTAACAGGGAGGGAAAGTATCATCTTCCTCCTCTGCTGACAGAATGTGCGACCTCCACAAAAATATCACTGTCCTCCTTGTTCCTCCCACCCCCTTCCAATTCCTAAACATGCATTCCTTTCAAAACACCTGGGGTGTAGTAACCCAGGAAGATGCAAAGACCTGAGATAAAGCAGGAGAAGGCTGGGAAGGCAAAGAAAAGGAGGAAGAGTTCAGTAGAGGAGGACTGTATAAACCTACATGTGTTATGGTGGTCAAAAGCAGGTAACAAAGGATCAATGATCATGGAGGAAAAGAAGCAGGGAACTGATTCACCAGGCTTTTCAATCTTGTGTATTCAATCATACTTGTAACTAAGCGGAGGCAAATCCTAACCAGGCAGCGAGGCTGCATTTTACATCTGCTTTGTCAGATCGTAAACAACGGCACAATGTGTAAGACAGTGGAGAATCAAACCCCATATGTTCTCAAATCTGCTGAGCCTTTTAGATGCCTTTTTTTTTATACAAATGGGGAATTCATCAAATTCAATTTTCCCTACAAAGACTTTCGGTTTCAACAGACAAACATGTTTTCCTGAAAAAGGCTTTATATGGAAACACTCCCAACTCGCAGTGCTCTGCGGTTAGAGCTCCTGCACCCTGCGGGCTGAAGCCAGCCACTCTTCCAGGCCGGGGAAGCAGGGCAAACCGGGAAACACCCTTGGTACCACCAGCGGCTGCGACACCTCGGCACGGTACAGCCTGCAGAGCGCAGAGTGAGTGGGACTGTCATCTGAAGTGTGAGGAACACATTGGCCCAGATTCCCTGCAGATCTGGGTTTCTGTTTTGCAGAGCCAGCAGGGAAAGCAACGTGTTTCAGCTCTCCCTTCCTCTCCCCCACCATAGCCAGGCGACCGCCCTAACCTACGCCATCTTCTGAAAGCCCCCTAGATACCAGCAGCAGATGTCAGCTGGACCCAGCACCTCGATCCAACCACATGCCTTCCCCACACAAAATTGCAAGTTGGCCCAAAAACCAGGATTTTGGGTTCAGCATCCGCTGAGAGGAACTGCATGATGCAAGGCAGGTCGCTATGGCAGAGAGCAACACTAATCCAACTCATAATCTGCTCTGCCAACCTCCCAGCGTTGCCATCAGACTTCTAGGTTGCTGCTCCTTGAAAGGACATCCCAACTGGACAAGAACAATACACAAGCTTGCCAGCTCCAGCCTGCTCACATAAGCCACCCTGCAATGAGAATCAGAGGAATTAGGACTAATCAGAAGGCGAGTCCTTTTGGTCCCTCAAAAAGGATTATAATCAGAAGGCTTATTTTGCAGAAGGAACAGTTTTACTGGCTGCAGTGATTTACTCTAAGTAAAATTTACATAGAACTTAGTTTAGGTTATAGAATTAAACCTCAAATTGTTAAAATTAACCTAATGGAAAAAAAACATTTAAAAATCCATACAGCAGTCTATCAAAGGCAGCTTGAAAGTAAAAGTCGTGCACCGTTCCTTTGCAAAGAAACAATAAAAGCAGGATTGAAAGTTTGGCCTGACCTGTCTAAGCACGTCAAATTCTCAGTTATATTCTGATGAACTTGTAAGCAGTTATTCAATTTGGATCCTGTGGCAGATTCTCCACATGTCAGAGCGTGCAGAGCTGGAGTACAGACAGAGGGATGCACATACAACGGCAGCACCTGGAGTGCAGCAGGTCCTCTTCCCAAGTCATTTTTCTGAATGTCTTCTTGACCCCAGCTCTGGTAGCCAGCTTTGCTGGAGGAATTCACCATCATTTCCTTCTCATTAGAGTAACAGGTTTTAGCAATAAACAGCTACCAGGTATAGAGATGGATGCTTTTGAAACAAGACAAGCAGGTAAAGAGTGTCTTTTTACAGTTTCACCAGTTTTCAGTGTTGCTCATATTCAGGTGGGGGCACTTGGTCTCCTGTCGTCCCTTCAGTATCCACCTAAGGCATGCAGGTGTCCCCGAATTTACAACAGCGCATTATCACACATAACCAGTTAACATAGTGTTAAAGATCCCCAAAAAGGTTACTTTTAGCTAAAATAATTTTCTGCTAGTGCTGGGAAAATTTAATGTGTTTCCATGGTATTACAAATCAACATTCTTTTTTTTCTTCTTTTTATCAACTTTTAATATTTCAATATAAAAATGGATAGCATATAAGAAAATGCAAACATGATCTTATCTTGTATAGTGCTGAACAGCTGCATGATTTCCACGTAGATGCATAGAAAATCATAGAATTTATCCTGCGTTCTTCATATAGACAGTGAAAACCAGAACAGACGAGCAGATCATTTGGACCTGGTAGTTCTGTGTCTGTAACAAAGTGTTAAGTTACAAATAAATAAATTACTGGAAGATTGTCTTCTGTAATGCTTCAATTTACATAAAAATGAAGAACTATAGACATAAGTTTAAGTGCACCTAAAAAGAAAACCAGAACATGAATGTTTATGGGTGCAAGCAAGCGAATGCTGAATAAAACCTTCAAACAAGAATTCAAGGCAGCATTTTGTTGCCTAAGTATTTTTATGGCACCATTTTAAGAATTCTGAGTCCCGAGAGAAACAGAAGGTGTCCTTTGGAGGACCTGCTGGAACTCTCCACGTGAGGAAGCAGATGGAACTTGCAGCTTGTTCTTCCACTTTTGTGGTAAGGTATTTTTGTAGAAGAGTGTAATTCTGGTTTCTGCGCTACTGCTCACTTGGTGTATAATCTTTAGCACATCATAAATACCCTTCCAATGCCACTTCCTATGAAGTGCTGAGTATCTTCATGCAATATTGAGACAACATTAGAAACATTTCACAGAAGAAATATAAATTTCCCTGTCAGTAAAGAAAAAAAAGAGATGATAGATATTGCATGGAGTCCTACTATTCCAGCTCCTTAGACGTCAGCTGGAGTCAGGCCACTCAGAGTCTCATAAAAGACATCCATCATTGTTTAGTATCTCACCAACGGGTTTTGTGGAGATTATTTAGGAAGGGATCCATCTCAATTAACAGCCTTAAATTTCGGTGTCTAAAATAATCTTCCAGGTTTTCCTAAGCCCAGCAGAGTGACATGGGGACCTACAAATGCCACTTTGGTCCTTGCTAAGGTGAGAGCCTTAAAAGGGGTATAGAGACTCCAAAAACATCAAGCCATGGAGTTATCACAGGTTGTCCCTATGACTCTCTGCATTTCTTTAGGCAGGTGTCACGTTTTCACTGTGAGGGAGCTGAAATACCGGAGTACCGCTTTTCACAAGCAAGCAGTTCTCATCACTGTCACATGAAGCAAGATTTAATCTTGTGGAAAAGGGCAGTCAAAAGTTTCCTCTATGATTCCAGATGACCAGCACATCACCCAGCCTGGAGCAGCAGAATCACCGAGAGACTGAAACATTGCCCCAACCCCCCCTCTTAACATGAGCTTCTCAGTCAACCTGTAGGAATATCCGCCACAGAAAGAGTTTCCGTGTGGTAAACTCTCTTCCAGTTTGAGTCCTTTGGCCAAGATGATATATTTTCAAATACTACATTATAACTCAGAAGTTTTGCATAAAGTTGATGCAAAAAACTATGAGATGAGATTCTATGGGCTGTGCAATGCAAATTCACAAATCAATCCATCGTAATAGTCAAAGCTGACCTGGAAATACAGCAGGATTTTTTTCTTTGTTTTCCTAGTTCAGACTACTAACACAGCCAGGAAATTCACTCAGTGTAAGTGTATTCACCAGAAAGTACTGTTTCGTTTTTGGAGTGTGCCTCTGAGAAAAGTTGTTTTATTTAAACAAGAAGAGAAGAGATCAGATTAACAAGTGTTTTTCTTCCTCTTGCAAGCTTTAGCAGGCTTAGCAGGTGCAATTTACTATGGGAATAATAGGAAACAATACGGAAATATTTGTTCTTTATTATTTGCATTACTGCAGCACTTGCAAACACCTGTCAGGCATCACTCCACAAATGTGGAACAAGCCAGCTGGACAGGCACAGAGAGCCAGGAGCTACCAGGACAACTCTGATCAGCACAATGAGCAGATCGGCGTCCTTGCTCCTGATTGTATTATTCCATTAAAAATGACACTGTTTGTAAACATTTCATAAAAAAGATTATGGGTATGCTCACAAAGGATTTTTTCTATGATTTATCTCAGATTTTTTGTTAGTATTTTCAGTTACCTGTTTTTAAAAGCTGTCTCCTTTTGGAAACTACCTCTTACTGGTTACTGAATTTCACTGTTGTCTAGCAGGCCAATTTGGTTTTTTTTTTTCCTTCGAGTTTTTCAAAGAATTTTAATAGATTCTGAGAACATGTCTTTCTCTTACAAAATGTGGGATGTCTTTACCTATCTACTTTCCTAAGCATTACACTAAGACAGGCACGTGGACCTGGAACGCAAATACCTTTTAACAAACTAAAAACTCCTACAGTGTGGTGCCACTGTTTTTCTAACTCATCACTAAAGCAATAACTTTCCAAACTCCCAGAACTGCTTGCGAGTCTAAGACCTCACTGCTACTTCAGCCACTCCGTATATTTCCTTTTCTCCATAATCTTCGCGTAAAGAGCATGCTGGTTTATCGGCTGGCAGCCCCTGCCTGCCACCCCAGCCCCAGGCTTCTCCGCACCAGAATACCGGCGTCATGCCAGAGAGGGGAGAACAGTCCTACAGAAACCAGTGTCTTAGCTCCTTATTCCCCAGATTCCGGGGCCAGTTTTTCTCGGGACTTCATAGTGGATTCATCTGTTCATTTCCCCTATGGCTTTTGACAGCTGTAAGATTTCTGCTGACTTTCCCGAAGAAAGGAACCTGGTTGATCGGGAAAGCAGAAGGAGCGTGACTCTGACGTGCGAGGAGAAGGAAACCTTGTGTCAGCAGTCACCAGAAAGGTGAGGAAAGCCCGAAGGAGCCACAGATCCCAAGCGCTCAGATTCGCGTCGCTGAAACTGGTTATCTGAACACGCTGGTATGTCTTCTGCGTTAATTAGATGCTATTTAATTATTTCAGAGGCTTCACAGGGCCCCAGGACAGCTCCCACCATTCATTCACCCCTTCCTCACCC